CTACAAGGTAAGACACCTTATGAGATGTTATACCATAAACCACCTGCTTATGATCATTTGAGGGTCTTTGGCTGTTTGTGTTTTGCTTCTACTTTGCCTAAAGGGACTAAGTTTGAGGCCAGAGCTAGAAGAACTGTTCTGATTGGTTATTCAGAAACACAAAAAGGTTACAAGTTATTTGATTTAGAATCAGGTACTTGCTTAGTGAGTAGAGATGTGTTGTTTAGAGAATACAATTTTCCTTTTAAGAGCTCACGGGGAGAAGATGAGGATGTATTTGGAGTGCACTTGCCTGAGATGGTTACTCCTCCCTCAGTAGAGATACCGGCGTATTTGCCTCCGACTTCACTCCCTAACATGCCATCTGCAGGTGATGATGTTCAGGTCCCTAGCATGAATGTTGATCCTTATCCTGAGCCACCAGTTGAAATTGAAAAACTCAGGAGAACTGGAAGAAATGTAAATCCTCCTATTTGGTTGAAAGATTATGTCACAGGAAAGAAATCTGCATCGAAATTGAAACACTCAAGAGAACTGGAAGAAGTGTCAATCCTCCTATTTGGTTGAAAGATTATGTCACAGGAAAGAAATCTGCATCTTCTTCATTGTATTCTATAGACAAGGTACTTTCTTATGATAGGTTGTCCGCTGCCTACAAGGCTTCTATACATGTTTTTTCAACTCATGTTGAGCCCAAAAGCTTCAAGGAGGCAGCATGTGATCCAAATTGGGTGAATGCAATGCAACTGGAGATTCAAGCATTAGAAGACAATCACACATGGGATTTAGTTTCCTTGCCTGTTGGTGTTCATGCTATTGGCTCAAAATGGGTTTTTAAGATCAAATACAAGGCAAATGGTGACATTGAAAGGTACAAGGCTAGGTTGGTAGCTAAAGGTTACAGTCAACTCGAAGGGCTGGATTATCACGACACATTCTCACCAATGGCCAAGATGGTCACTGTGAGGACTGTCATTGGAATTGCAGCTGCTAAGAATTGGGATTTATTTCACATGGATGTCAATAATGCATTCCTTCAGGGAGATCTTTATGAGGATGTGTACATGCAATTACCTCAAGGCTTTCACAGACAAGGGGAACCTTTGGTGTGTAAGCTCAAAAAGTCCCTATATGGTCTTAAACAAGCATCACGACAATGGAATATTAAACTCACTGATGCCCTGGTAAAAGAGGTTATTGCCAAAGTTCCTATGACCATTCCTTATTCACACAAGTGTCAGGTTCAGACATTGTTGTGATCTTGGTGTATGTGGATGATTTGCTCATCACAGGTAGTAGTCTCACATTAATTCAACTTGCCAAGGACACCTTGCACAAGGCATTCAAGGTGAAGGATCTCGGCCAACTAAGATATTTCTTAGGCCTTGAGATACTTAGATCACAGAAGGGGATACTTTTGAATCAGAGAAAATATGTTCTAGACTCATTTCAGATATGGGACTAAGTGGTAGTAAACCTGCTATAACTCCTTTGGAGATGAACAGAAAACTCACCATAGTGGCGTATGATGCAACAGTAGGAGTTTCTAATGATTCTGAGCTAGAAGATATTTTAAGCTTTCAAAAACTCATTGGGAAGTTGTTGTATGTGACAATCACTAGACCTGATATTTGTTTTGCAGTTCAGGTACTCAGCCAATTTATGCAAAGGCCTAAATATTCTCATATGGATAGTGCTTTGAGGATAGTGAGATATCTGAAGGGTGCTCCTGTTTTAGGGATTCTTCTTCCCCCTGGAGACATCATTAGTATGACTGCTTACTGCGATGCTGATTGGGGTTCTTGCCCAAATACTAGGAGGTCGGTTACAAGGTATGTGATTATTCTTGGATGTTCCTTAGTAGAAGTCCAAGAAACAGCACACGGTTAGCAGGAGCTCTGCAGAAGCCGAGTACAGGAGCATGGCTGCTGTCACTGCAGAGATTATTTGGTTGACAGGTCTGCTCAGAGATCTTGGTGTTGTTCTATCATCACCAGTGGGGCTGTTTTGTGACAACAAGGCTGCTTTGCAAATTGCTAATAATCCCATCTTTCACGAGAGAACTAAACATATCGAGATTGACTATTATTTTGTTAGAGAAAGGATCAAATCTGGTTTGATTCAGCGTGTCCACCAATATGCAGCTTGCTGATTTACTAACGAAAGGCCTTACTAGTGCTCAGCATCATTCTTTGTTATCCAAGCTTGGAGTGTTTGATGTCTATCACCCTCCAGCTTGAGGGGGACTATTGGATATTTTCTATTAGTCTGTTATCAGTCAGAGGAGTTAGTTAGAGGGCAGTTTAGTCATTTACTTTCCAAGTTGATGTAGGTCGGTCATTAGTCTGTTACAGAGTCTATATATATACTTTATGCATTGATTGTAGAAGACCACTGATAATAGAATTCTAAGAATATAGTTTCCATCTCTTCATGATGTGAGCAGATTGTTGAATGTTACGATTGTTTCTCTCATGCACAAGGCATTCAAGGTGAAGGATCTCGGCCAACTAAGATATTTCTTAGGCCTTGAGATACTTAGATCACAGAAGGGGATACTTTTGAATCAGAGAAAATATGTTCTAGAACTCATTTCAGATGTGGGACTAAGTGGTAGTAAACCTGCTATAACTCCTTTGGAGATGAACAGAAAACTCACCACAGTGGCGTATGATGCAACAGTAGGAGTTTCTGATGATCCTGAGCTAGAAGATATTTTAAGCTTTCAAAAACTCATTGGGAAGTTGTTGTATGTGACAATCACTAGACCTGATATTTGTTTTGCAGTTCAGGTACTCAGTCAATTTATGCAAAGGCCTAAATATTCTCATATGGATAGTGCTTTGAGGATAGTGAGATATCTGAAGGGTGCTCCTGGTTTAGGGATTCTTCTTCCCCCTAGAGACATCACTAGTATGACTGCATATTGCGATGCTGATTGGGGTGCTTGCCCAAACACTAGGAGGTCGGTTACAGGGTATGTGATTATGCTTAGATGTTCCATAGTATCTCGGAAGTCCAAGAAACAGAACACGGTTAGCAGGAGCTCTGCAGAAGCCGAGTACAGGAGCATGGCTGCTGTCACTGCAGAGATTATTTGGTTGACAGGTCTGCTCAGAGATCTTGGTGTTGTTCTGTCATCACCAGTGGGGCTGTTTTGTGACAACAAGGCTGCTTTGCAAATTGCTAATAATCCCATCTTTCATGAGAGAACAAAACATATAGAGATTGACTGTTATTTTTTTTAGAGAAAGGATCAAATCTGGTTTGATTCAGCGTGTCCACCAATATGCAGCTTGCTGATTTACTGACGAAAGGCCTTACTAGTGCTCAGCATCATTCTTTGTTATCCAAGCTTGGAGTGTTTGATGTCTATCACCCTCCAGCTTGAGGGGGACTATTGGATATTTTCTATTAGTCTGTTATCAGTCAGAGGAGTTAGTTAGAGGGCAGTTTAGTCATTTACTTTCCAAGTTGATGTAGGTCGGTCATTAGTCATTTACAGCTATATATATGCTTTATGCATCGATTGTAGGTGACCACTGATATAGAATTCTAAGAATATAGTTTCCATCTCTTCATAATGTGAGCAGGTTGTTGAATGTTACGATTGTTTCTCTCATTTCTATTAATTACCTTCGAATATGGAGCAACATTACAAGTATAACATAACACATTGGTAACATAACACTGAATCAAAAGTGTACATTTCAAACAATTCAAAGTTAAATATGCTTAATTAGATATTATAAAGACTAAAATTAGAAGGTGTCGATCAATAATTGAAGGATCAAACATGCTATTAACCCTTTTAACTCATATAAGACTCTTAATAGTGTAAAGAGTCTTTTATACAATTAGTGGAGTTTAACAAGTGATATATAGTAGATTAATTATTATTTTCGACTGGTTACCAACTAATTACTCTATTTGGTCTAGTTTGTGTGACATAATTTGAATTGGTACAGAGTTTAATAAAGAAACCTAGACTTTTAAAACTTGTATTTTGATTAAATATATCATAATATTTGTGCAGTTATAAAAGCTTTAAATTTTGTGGCATTACATACCGATAATATTTGTGTGACTGTAAAAACTTCTTATTAAAGGTAAAATAGAAACTATCAAAAAGTTATAAATATATCATTTTAAAAAAAAAAAAAGGGAAAATGCTTAAGTACCCTCCCAACCTATGCCTGAAATCTCAGAGACACACCTATCCTTTACTAAGGTCCTATTACCCCCCGAACTTATTTTATATATAATTTTCTACCCCTTTT